GCTCTTTCATGGATGTGCTGTGTGAACGTAGGCCAATCACGTTCCCTTTCCCATGCCTGTGTTTCCCCATCTGTCAAATAATGAACTGGCCTTTGTGACCTACAGAAGAACTCTAAACACACAGGAAGGATTATTGTTTGTAGGGAGGCTGTACCGTCCAACCGGTGCAGACATCATGAAGCGAACCTGAAGATTCACTCCGTCAGAGAAAGATTGGGGCACAGGGGCCTACAGGCCCGATTCAGAAAGATCTCTTCCTCTTAGGCTGAAAACACGAGTCCAAAGGTCTGGTAGGCCCCATCAAGTCCACGCCCCTGGCCAACACACTATTGCGCCCTGCTTTCTATCTTTCACTATCTTTGCTCATTCTAGTTTTAAATGGGCCCAGAACTGGAAGCAGGGGTGGAGTCACAAGATTCATCGGATGCACCTTAAGGGTCCCCCAGACCTTCCGAAGTGGAAGTTGTTGTCAGCCAATCTATTGGCCCAGGGTTGCCAACTCTCATGGGTTTAATCACAAGTCTTGCACTATTTGGCTTTTTATGTAAAGCCCCAATTCCTGGAATCACCATAGGATCTGAGCCGTCATTAAAAAATAGTGGAGTTTCTAGATCTCAGGGGTTGTGGACAAAAGCTTGAAGCTTGACCTGAGTCTGACCTAAAAGGACAGAGGGAGGCCACGCCCCCTTGCTCTCATGCCCCTATCAAGGCAATGGTTGCTGGGGAATTAGCAATCTCTGAGGCCGAGGCCCTGGCCCTCTAGGCAGGGTCAAGCAGCCCATAGTCTGGAGCCCTGGCCCCAGGCAGGGCAGAGCACGACACAGTTTATCGCCTCACATCTTAACTCAGGCAGACAGCAGACAAACATAGGCCTCTTGGCCTAAAGTGTGGGGGCTGCCACCCCAGGGGCAGGGCAGCTTCAGGGGATAGGGGGATCCGGGCCCACCCTACTCCACTGGGTCCCAGCCCAGGGGTGGATGGTTCCACCACTGGGTCAGACTCAGCAGGGAACCAGCCAAAACATGCTGACTGGAATTCTGGCCACACAACAGGACTACTGTCTGGTGTCCCTGGGCTACTTACTTCTGACTACCACTTTGCAGTCTCCCCGGGGTAGACGCCCAAGGGCAGACCCAGTAGACCTTCAGTGTCCTCATCAGTTGGCAGTCCTAGCAGTCCCCTCGAGTCCTCAGCGCTGCAGAGGTCCCCTTTGGGCTCCAGCAACAGGTGGGAGTCATCTGTCTCCAGGCCAACTGAGTTGCAGGGCCCGCCTTTTATACTTCCAGTCCTGCCCCTGTGCTTCTGGCCTGGCAGGTGTGGCTTGCCTGGCTCTGCCCACCCAGGGATGGGTTAGGTTTCCTCCCCATCCATCTCAGAGGGAAGCCACGCCCCCTTGCTATACCTCTAGGGCCTTACATACAGGGTTAATGCACCCCAGAATATTAGTCTTTTTCACAACTGCATCACATTGTAGATTATATTCAATTTGTGATTCACTATAATGCCGGATCCTTTTCAGCAGTACTTCTGCCAGCTCTTACTGCCTAGCAGGTTAATCTCCTTTTTGTAGTTGTGCATCTGATTTTTCCTTCCTAAGTGAAGTACTTTCCACTTGTCTTTATTGAATTTCACCTTGTTGATTTCAGAACAATTCTCCAATTTGTCAAGACTGTTTTGAATTCCAATCCTGTCCTCCAAAGTGCTCGTGAGCCCTTCCTGTTTGGTGTCATCTCCAAATTTTATAAGCACAATCTCCACTCCATTATCCAAGTCATTAATGAAACTATTGCAGGGATCAGCAACCTTTGGCCCGCAGCCCGCCAGGGAAAGCCGCTGGCGGGCCGGGCCGGTTTGTTCTGGGCTGAGGGATGTGCTGGCTGCCCCTTCCCGCAGCCCCCATTGGCCTGGCACAGCAAACCGCGGCCAGTGGGAGCTGCGATTGGCCAAACCTGCAGACACGGCAGGTAAACAAACCGTCCTGGCCTGCCAGCGGCTTTCCCTGATCCCTGAACTATTGAATAGTACCAGACCAAGGACAGATCCTTGCAGGATCTGAATAGATGCATTCCCCCCAGTTTGACAGTGAACCATTGAGAACTAATCTTTGAATACAGTCTTTCCACTAGTTTTGCACCCGCCTTATAGGAATTTCATCTAGACCACATTTCCCTAGTTCGCTTATGAGAATGGCATGTGGGACTGTGTCAAAAGCCTGACTAAAATAAGGTTATATCATGTCTACAGTCCCATCCTCGTCGTCCCCCACCCCATCCACTAAGCCAGTAGCCTTGTCAAAAAAGGAAATTAGGTTGGTTTGGCACGATTTGTTCTTGACAAATCTATGTTGGCTATTCCTTGTAACCCTATTGTCCTTTAGGTGCTTACAAATTAATAATTTGTTCCAGTATAGTTCCAGGTATTCACGTTAGGCTGACTGGCCTATAATTCCCCAAGTCCTCTTTGTTCCCCTTTTTACAGACCGTGACTATGCCCGTTTTTCCTCCAGTCCTCTGGGACCGAACCCATCCTCCAAAGATAATCGCTAATGGTTCAGACATTGCTTCAACTAATTCCTTAAGTACCATAGGGTGAATTTCATCAGGCCCGGCGAACTTGAATACTTCTAACTTATCTAAATATTATTTAAAATGGTCTTTCTCCATGTTGGCTTGTGTTCCTTTCCCCTTGTTGTTAATATTAATTGTGTTAAGTATCTGGTCGCCATTTATCTTCTTAGTGAAAACTGAAGCAAAATTGGCATCAAATATCTCAGCATTCTTGATGTTGTCCATTATTAGGTCTCCATCCTGGCTAAGCAGAGGACCCACACTTTCCTTGGTCTTTCTTGTGCACCTAATGTATTTAAAGATCCTCTTCTTGTTACACCTAGCAAGGGACATAAAAGGTAACTCATTTTGTACCTTAGCCTTTCTGATTTTGTTCCTACATGCGTGTGCTATTCTTTTGTATTACTTCTTAGCAATTCATCCATATTTCCACTTTTTGTAGGATGCCTTTTTGATTTGCAGGTTATTAAAGGGCTCCTGATGGAGCCAGATTAGTCTTTTACTATTCTTATCTTTCCTTTCCATCGGGATAGGTTGCTCTTGCACTTTTAATATTGTCTCTTTGAGAAACTGCAGGCTCTCCTGACTTCCTTTATCCCTTAGGTAGGGCCCAGGGGAAGAAAATGTACCAGTGCTGAGTTTATTAATGCCTGCTTTTCTGACGTCTATTGTTTTTATTCTGCTGCTCTCGCTCCTTCCTCTCCTTAGAATTGAGTAATCGATCATTTCATGATCGCATTCACCCAAATTGCTTCTGACCTTCAGATTAACAAATTCCTCCATGAGAATCAAGTTTAAAATTGCTGTCCCCCAGTTCCTTCCTCCACCTTCTGAAAAAAGAAGTTATTGGAGATTTTGTGTTTTGCTCTATAGGGGAATCATTAACCACCCAGACAGCTGTTGTGGTTAATGTCCCCCATTACTACCAGGTTTGGGGGTTTGGGATATTTTTTATTCCAGAAATGCCTCATCCACCTCCACTCTCCTGATTTGGTGGTTTATAGTAGATCCCCCCCATCATAAGATCCTCCGTTTCTTTCCCCTTTGATCTTCACCCAGAGATGTGGAATGGATAGTCAAGGGAGAACACCCTTTGCTCCATCACTCTTGGTACATGAGGTTTCTTCAAGGAGTTGCTCGTGGCTAGATAAGGCTGAATGGGGCCTGGGTCCACTAAACTTCCAGCTCCTCAAATTTAGTTCCTTGACAGATATCTCAGGGCCCTTCAGGGGGGTTCATCTCACCAGCAATCCCTTAGCTCTACAATTTATGCTGTCCAAGCTCACCTTCATTGGAAGGGCATTCAGTGGTTTGGGCATTAGCACAGGCTTTGGGAGACCTTCTCTGCCACAGGCTTGTTGGGTGAGTTACCTCCTCTCTCTCCGTGCCTCAGTTCCCCCTCTGTAAAATCCCCAATCCCACAGGGTTGGTGGGAAGATAAATACATGACAGATATGAGACTAGGCTGATGAGGACCCTGTGTACGTGAGATAAACAGTTATGTAACATGATAAATGTGCAATTCCCAGCTATGGCCATTGGGGGGCTGAGAGCGCTTTCCACAGATGGCCTTCAAGATCCCTCCTGTAAGATCCTAACTGGCTGTCAGGGGCTGCCCGGTATTCCCCACTCTTGCCTCCTTGCTGACCCCTGGACCGTGACTGAAATTCTACCCTCCTTCCATAATCCCACAGGAACTTGGCTCCATTTACAGCACAGGAACTTCAAAAGAAGCCTGTGGACACATTTACCAAAGACGCAATCGTCTCTGGAGGAAAATAGTCTCCTTTAGACAATGGCCTTCAATCTCACGACAAACCCAGTTCTGTTTAGATGGTGCAAGGCGGATTACGGACCCCACCCTGAGTGTCCTCTGCCCGGGAGAGGCAGCCCAATGGATCTGGCATTGATTAGCGGCGACAATGCAGCTTTAATCACAAAGCGCTTCCAGAAAGGAGAGGTGGGAAACAAAGAATGCTGCAGAGCACATGGCCAGAGATCAAAAACAGAACCAGAGGTACTTTCCAGCAAGTGCGCTCCTGTCTATCGCCCCTTCAGAGCAACTTACAGATATGACCTGAAGGCTTGGGGGGAGTAAGTCACACTGATCAAAGCTCACTTTTATCCCATTGCACGCACACTCAGGATTTGGACCAGGTTACAAGATTACCTAAGGTTTCAGAGTAGCAGCCGTGTTAGTCTGTATCCGCAAAAAGAACAGGAGTACTTGTGGCACCTTAGAGACTAACAAATTTATTAGAGCATAAGCTTTCGTGGACTACAGCCCACTTCTTCGGATGCATATGCTATATGCATCCGAAGAAGT